CAATATTAGTGTAATAGAAAATGTATTCACTATAGAAACACAATTGTTAAATCAATAAATCTTTGTGCATATACATATGGAATTTATAATCAATTAATACATAAAACGCGTGAAAACATTTAATACTTGTTGAATCCAGTATATTTAAAATGTGTCTTTGTCTTGGACCAATAAAATCTGGCAAAACATTTTTAATGAAACGTTTGCAAGGGGATGAGATAGATGATGCAACCCATACTGTTTCTACTAATGGTATAAATCTATTTACAATAAAAAACAACACTGGTGAATTTGATATAATTATTAAAGAAATTGGCGGTAGCATGGCGCCAATATGGAAACATTACTTTGATATGGTGAATTTTCTCAGAAAAAGCTTTAAAAACAAAAAATAAGTGGCAATTTTAAAATCATTGTCAAATAAATTTTTTATATTTTTCGAAATTATTTTATACTCCATAGGTACGGAAGATTATTTACGTAGTAGATGCGAGCAATCTTTGTCAAATAAGTGCGGCAGGTGTATTACTTTACTCTTTGTTAGTTGACCCTAGATTGCGAAATGTAAAAATTGCATTAACATTAAACAAAATGGATCTTTCTTATCGTCAAATGCGCAATGAAACCTTACTTATACTTCAATATTCACGACTGCAAAAAGAAGCTACACAAGAATTGACTATATTTGAAACTAGTGGAATGTCCGGTCAAGGTATTGAAGAATTAAGAAACTGGATATTTGATCCAGCTACTTTAAAATCGGCAATAAATGCAAACAAGTAAAATAAGTGTATAGCTTGAAACGATTTTATCAGAAAGTGAATATTCTTTTATTTACACTCAATAATACAAAGATATAAAGATTCTACGAATGACTTTTCAGTAATCAACACTGACATTATTTTAATATAAATCATTAGCAAAATTTTGTCTGGTTTTCCTGTTCATTATACTCAAAAGTAGAAATACTATCATAAACGAAATTCATTATTTTTAGTATTGAACGTACAAGATGTTCATTTTTATAGATTCATGTCAATTTAATTATTAACTTATACAGCCTTTAACACATTTTCAAGGCATTTAAAAAAAATAGCTTTTGCAGGAATTAGAAGGTTGTCGATCAAGAAGTTCCTGAATTCATCTGAAATAAGTGCTACTTACATAATAAGTGTTATATCATAAAAAATACATTATGTTCGACCTCACAAGTGTTAGAGTACTGGGATAGGTTTGCATATTGAAAGAATAGTATTCAAAGAACAATTTCATCACTTCGTATGAATAATGTATTCTTAAAATAAGTTCAAAAACTTTTTGACCAACTTTCACATGCACATATACAAGTATTTGAATACGAGCTACCATAACAATGTAATCTAAATTAAAGTACAAGAGCACAGGTGTGTATAATGAAAGGTTTTCACAAGAACGCAAAAGAAGGAAAATATACTTTCCTGCTTTCTTGTACTATTAATGATAAATAGATATTTGCATGTACATTTCTTAATTTGTTTTCCAAACATTTAAGATTTTTCTTATCAATCTATCCATCTGTAAGCTTCTCGAAATATAATAAACTATACAAATCAGCCGAGGAACTACGTCTAATGTATTCTTGTAAGATCTTCCACTATTTTTACAAGATCATCCACCGTTGCTTCTTTTCTCATGCCGCTAGGATCGTCGATCTATAAGAAGAAAGTGACTTAAAAGTATGATAAATTATATTATACATACCTAATTTAAGCAAAAAACAATTTATATACCATAACACCAATTGCAACTTCTGCCATTTTATCGGGGCTTAAATCAAGGAAGCTTTCGATTAAATCTCCGTCTATAAAACCTTCGCATTGTTCGATCTTTAATTCGGTATTAAAACTTCTCCAAAAGTTGTGTTCTATTTTACCAACGCTTTTTATTACACTTGTTAATCTATCTTCAAGATGTCTTAAGAATTCATAAAATGTGAATGGGATTTGCGTAACTAAACCAATAGTACCGCTAACTGTTCCGAACAGTACGCAACCTTGTGTAGGTGTACTTGATTCACCTAGATTTTGCATCACCAAAGATCCATGTCGGAAAACGTTAACCATATCACCTAAATGAAATTGACCAACTTCCTGCATTTGTTGTCTTTCATCCTCTGAAGTAGCAGCACTATAATAAATTTTAATTTATTATTGTGTATGACTGATATGCATGCAAGCATAATAAATACTGAATAAATTATATGTCAAAACTCACCTATCTTTTTGACAAACAAATAGATTGAAACAATTTTCAGCACCCAAAAAAGTGTCATCATCTAAAATTTCAACAGCAGTCATCCAATTTGGATTATAATCTCTTGCTATTTCTTCAAAGCAACCTTCCATTGTTTTATATTGTAACAATGTAAGAGATCTCATAAGATCTCCAACTAAAATAAAATCTCCTTTAATTTTTAAATAAAGGGCAATGATATTATTAAAATGACTGCATTCTAATCTGAGTTCTTTTTCGGCTGTCCACTCAAACAAACGAACAGTGCTATTAATACTAGCAAGAAGTTTTCCATTGAACTCAACTAAAGAATAACATGATCCTTTGATTTCTTTTTCAGCAACTTGTGTAAGCTTTCCATCACTCCAATGATATAAAAGTATTCTGCCCATTTTTGGCTCACTTTCATCTGGATTAACAAGCGCAGTTCCAACTACATAATAAGAAGTGGGATCTTCACCCAACTTTGTTGATATTAATGATAATGCATATTCAGTGGGCATTAACATATGTGCATGTAAAACTTCGAAAGTATGTTGATCAATAATGAGTAAATTATGTACCTCAATTTCCTGACTAATGTCACTAGCTGTGTGCCCTGTAGGTTTATTGTGTGATGCAATATGACTGCTGCTAGATGTAGAAGCTGCTTGCGTAGACGCAGAGTGTCTTACAAGGCTAACACCGCTGCTATCTTGGAGATCGACACGCATTGTTATTACTCCAAATGTTTGAGAAGTTTCCTGGTAAGCAATTCGTCTTGGTGATTCTCCAAGAGGAACAGTTCGAATATGCAATTTCTGTATTTCATCGATCGTTCCGATTGTCACTGTGCTATCAGTTGCTAATGCTAAACTATCAGGATATGATTCTGCATTGAGAGAACACATATGATTTACTTCTTTTAAGTTAACATTGCTGAACACTAATTTGTGATTTGACGAATAAATAACAGTAGGCCTATCAGAACATGCAAAAACATTGGTAGTAGACAATGATCTGAAAATTCTTAGAACTGTTGGTTGTGTACCTAAAGTAACTTTCTTTTTATCAGAAAGCATACCGTTTTGTTTATGTAGAGTAAAATAATACATGCTGCCATCTCCAAGAGCACAAAGTAAGTATGTATTACCTTCAAAACATGTCATTAGAATAGATCTAGGTATAATTTCACCCCCAAGTAATTCCTTATTAATTTCTTCTAAAGCAGGCAAAGTTAGGATACGAACAGAAATATCTGTCCATAAACCTACTGCAGCAATTTTTGCTTCAGTATTACCATCCAATGGTGATATATCTAGGCACGCAACTTCATATTGCAAAGTAGCAAATCCTTTTGGTAAAATTTGTCCACAAGAAATTTCCATGTAAAACAAATCATTTCCAGTAGCACAAAGTACTTGTGTACCATTACATGCAACTACACTAATAGTTCTTTTGTTTTCTGGTTCCCATTCAGAAACAACTGTTTTAGTTTCATGTGAAATTAATCTGGCAGATATTGGTGTTATTTGAATAAATAAATCATTTGTAACATTCCCAGTATGGAAAGTTTGTTCATCAGCAACAAAACCTGGAATATCTGTTTCTTCAACTTCTTCTCCATTTAACACCAAAATTCTGGTTTGTCCAACAAAAGATAAGACCAATGTGTTGTCAAAATTACCACCACCAATTTTTAATGCCCACATACCCTTGATACCTGGTAAATCTATGCTTGCATGTTCTTCAATACCTATTCCATTCCTAATAATTCTAAGAGAACCCTCCTTGAAAGCTCCAGAACATGTAACCATTTGCCCCTGACCCTGTCTTTCAAGATCAACTACTGCCATGTCAAGTATTGGTGCCAAGTTAGTAAAAGTTTCCATTGGAACACAATATGAACCATTTTCATCTGCTTTTGTAATTAATTTAACTAACTGTGAATCACCCAACCTACTACCAACAAATATTACTCCATTATCCAAATATGTAATGCATTCTGGTATACTAATTTCTCCTAAGAGTTCAACTTTTAAATCTTTTACAACTTGTGTGCCATCTAGTTTTTTTTCTTGTTCCAAGAATAACATGAATAAATGTCCAGCCATATCTCCTAATAAATATCTAAGTCCTTGATTATCAACTTTAGCATAGCATGTAATTGTACTCAGTTTGATAATTGGAGGCACAACAGCAACATATGTGTTTCCATCATGGTACAATATACTTTCTTGACCTATTATTATTGCACCACAAATAGGAGAGGGCACAGGAATGACTACCATAGCTTCACGTTCTACATTATCCTGTCTCCAAGGAATTTTAACAAATTCTTTGTCCCTTAAGGAAATTTCATGTGTTTTGACATGTCTTCCATTAATATCTTGGTGAATTAAAATCAAGGTAGGATTGGCACATCCATGAAGAAAATTCATATCTTGCACTTGTTGCTCATCCATACGTATTGATGATGCTTTCAATTCTGGGTTATCTTTATCAAGGGGTATAATTTTGAAAAGACCATCATACAATCGAAGACCAATTACACGAGCTTTAGGATCAATTACAGCTTTGATTCCTGTTTCAGAAGCCTTTCCAATACGATCTGCTACATTTCCATGTGCTTTTGTTATAATTTCTATATCTTCTCCTTCTCCAATACATTCCAAAATCATAGCATTATAACGTGTAGTCAAAAGAAACAAAAGATCTTTTTTTTCATGCTGCAGAAATATTATAATTCATTAATAACCAAGAAATTTTATTGTAACTTAAAATTCAAATATTTGAATGGCTGAATCTACAAAAATACTAATATGCTGTTGCATATATTTATATGTATTAATATACATACATAAATGAAAGATAATTAATTCCTTGTAAGTATAAGGTTATATTATTATTAATGAAAATGTTGCAAATATACATTTAACATAATATACGAATTTCATTATACTAAATATAAATGAAAAAGCAGTGAAACAAATAAATAATTGTAAAAGTCATCAAATAAAGATACTAGTATAACCTTACCGGCGGTCTAAAAAATTTAACGACAGCAATTTTTCCGTAAATTCCAACTTCTTTCAATGGTCTTAAACCTTCTGGAGTAACAAGATAAATTTCTAATCGAACATTTTTTGCTAAGATGAGGTTCAAATCCGTAGGTGAAGTGAAATTACCTTCATACATAGGTAAAAAGAAAATAATTGTTTATCTACGTAAATATATAATTTTTTTGCAAAATAATCCTACTTACCTGTCACACATGCGGTGACAGCCGTAGGCTTATGTGCCGTTACTACGTAATGATGAGACATTGCTTTCATAATATTTTATCCGGCAACAACTTTTATAAATTTGTTAACACTTCAAGTACAAGACATAGGTACGACCAAGCGCTGGCCTTGCGTGGTTTTCAATTTCACGCGCCACGAAGTTGGCAACGTTTCACATTGTATTAAGCCTGGTTCACAATAAACACAAGAAATGTTTCAAAATCATTTTTGTAAATGAATACATATTTTTTCTTACATTACTAATTAAGTAATAGTCTCGTTTTAATTAAAAATATATAGAATTATAAATTCACAAATGACGTAAAATTATGTAATCTAGAGTATTCGGTTACAAAAAAGTGGGAATCAATTGCTTAAAACTTTATCACATAAATTCATTTTTCAAAAAATTGCATGTTTCATACATATTAATTCACTTATCATAATTTTTAACAAATAAAAAATCAAACTTTATGTACATTTCAATGTAACTTATTACATTAACAATATATTCATTAAGTTTTTAAGGAGTGCTTAGATTCTATTGTAGTAAAGCTATCCTACAGTCAAACATATTCACATTATCGAAGATATTTTAAACGAATTTCGTTCGCTGTTTGCATCAAATTTCAGGAAAATAATCATAATAAAAGAAAATTTGAAATTTATTAAAAATGTAAAGTGTGAAATATTTTAACATATTATATATTCAGACCATAAACTAACATCTAATTTTATATTTTATATCTGTACAATTTTACAATATCACATAATTTTAACATTAATTTGTATCTTTGTTTATACCTAGTGTCATAATTTATTAGTTGATGGTCTGTGAACCCCAAATTTACACATTCTGTATTATCAAATGGCAGTTCATCAAAAACAGGCTATTAAAAAATAATTACTCCAACTGCATCAAAATTAGTACCAAATGAAGATGAAATAATATTATAGAATTTTTGGAACTTTTTCGAACTTTTTCGAACTTTTATAGAATTTTCAACTTTTGGAAATTTTACCAAGCACATAATAATCTAGCCTGCACATGTTTAAGTTTTAATCTTCCATAAGATTAGGTACGTATTTCCTACTTCATTACATATTCAAGTTTACACAAAACAGTCTTAAATGAAATATGGGAAGTAAATTATAAGAGCACATTCAAAGATAATCTAAGGTTACATATCTGTTATCAGGAAAAGGATCTTGTGTTGCATAAGTGCAACATAGTTGTTTCAAACCAGTCTTGCTTCCTAAATTGGTAGGATTAAAGCAAATATGCAGGACCAATGATGTATTTAATACAACTTGTACGTTAATTTTTAAAACATTGAATAGACTTTTTATATAAAAACAGCTCTTTATAATTTATGTTGGGAGACCGTCAATCTTTTGAATGGCTACATGGCCATTAGAAAGATTAACTGGGATCATAGATGCCTTGGAACTCTCACTTGCTACTATCACTGAGTTATCACAACTATCACTTTTACTATCAGTACTGGACACAGAACTGTCTTTCCTCTGACTACTCTCATGTCTAGGAGTATATCCCATATGTTCTGGAGAAGAGCTGGAATTTGAATGGACACAACAACATCTGCTCCTATTTCCATTACTTGTACTATCACTATCGCTCTCGCTATCAACACTTGAAACTGGCCAACCATCTCTCTGAGCCCTTAATGACTCATTTTCTTGTTTTAATTGTTCATTTTGTTGCATTAAATCATCAATCCGTTGTTGGCAAATTTTTAATTTTTTTGCTGATTCTGAATCTGTACTACTGCTTTTACTTTCCAAGTCTCGTTCCTCTGTTTGATGAAAATTTTTACCACGTAATCGTTTTGTTAATAAATCTACTTTTGCTTCTAACTGTAGATATTCCTGTATCAATTCTGTTTTACTTAATGTACTTAATCTTTCAGCATGAAGGTCTTCGTATGCAGTTGAGAATTCCTTTGTCAAGAATTCTTCTTCATCCTCTGGAGAGGAATAAAAATAATCTTCATCAGAGTCAACACTGAAACTAGAATCTCTGGTACGAGAAGGAGCTGATGGTTTTTGAAATGTAGTAGGTACTTCTGATGATGCAGCTTCTGAAAGCTTTTGGTCAAGGTCTGGAAGATCACTGTGATCATCCATAAGAAATTGTGTAGTGTTGTATGGTGCTGGAGGCTGTCTACCAGTTTTTGCTAATCGACCTCTAGATCTATATCGTAGCTGTTGTTGGTATGATAACTGTTGTTTTGAATATGGTTTTAATTTTCTATGCTTAGGTTTACCTCTACGAGTCTTTCTTTTTTTCGCTGCAATATCAATTCCATCCTCATGTTGACCACCTTCCTGATCTCCACTACCACTTCCACTTTCAAATTTTCCAGATTTTTTTACTAATAATTTTGAACACTGAAACATAAAAATAATTACGTTAATCTTCAATATATTTAAAGTGGCATTATATATTATACAACGTAAATCAATTTCCCTAATATATTATTTTTGTTTAATTACGATAAAGATTACTACGATTAATTTCAACTGAAATAGTATTCAATTTTGGTATAACAATAAATTTATGAAACTACATTAACGATTAATTTAAAATATTTCAATTTTCATGCGGAATAATATTTGTAAACGTTCAAAATAAAGCAGACATCTTACGGTTTTCCCATTCATATAGTCATTTTTGTTTATATTTTCTCCAGTAGAGAGCGACACTTGTTTCGAAGCGGGTAACGATGACGCCGCAGGCGTCGGCTCTGCTCGTACGCCCTTCACGTCACGTACTTCATCAATGCCGCCCGACACTTTCTCCATTACCGTTTTGACATCATGATTCTCCATATTCGTAATATTGACCAGAATTCGACGATTTGCAGTGATACAAGCACTCATTACCGGTTAACAACACTACTTCATCCACCGATACCTTCTACTCCGGTTCTACGAACCGTACGCCTTCACCGCAAACAGCGACTGAATCGCCATGTTTGATTTGTCCGTGATTCCGTGCGATAGCGAAGCGCGACGTGCTAACGTTTTGGAGGAGTAGGGAGATTTGTTCAGAAAAGGTGGGGTGAACGCATTTGTCCCCACCGAATCCCCCACCATTCTCGTTTATCCTTCAGGCACTGCTCCCTGAAAGTTTATGGCGACTCTTCTCTTGCACAGTGCACCCTTACACTGTTAATTTAATGTTTATTACATAGAGCAAACGAGAAGAACGATAAGCGTACGACAAGTCTATTCTATTGCTAATATGTTTTAAGTATCTGGTGGATTTGTAATCTGTTCAATGTATGTTTAACGTTTCACACATAATAAAATTTATATCGAATCGATGGGATCGCAAGTTTCCAATCGATGATCCTATTGTATAAATGAAAGCAATATTGTAGTTTCAATCACAATTTAGGAGAAACATTAATTTCTTCACATCAATTTCACGATGTTACTTGTGACTCTTTACTCGTGCTCGAAGTACAATACTCACATTACTTGATATGTTTTCTGTACATACATCTGTGCTACTGTACTTCGCTAAATAGAAATCTTTAGTTCTAGCAGTGCTTGATCGAGTCGGGCAAAGTCGGCTTGTAAATCGTAAATAGAAAGTGGTTGTCTTTTACACGGAGTTACTGGCACTTAATTAGGAGTAATGTTTCTGCTACTTTTATAACGAAACGTATAACAGAGTTCGTATCGTTGCAGGTTGTCTGTAAATATTTTTTTATAATACATACGTTCCAAACGATAAATCTTCCTGTTTTTCTAATGCGACGCAGTTTCAGTGTTTGTTGTTGACGCGTTTACCGCGACTAATTTCGGAAATGTCTTTTTAACATAAACTTTTAACGAATGGAACAAATTTTGTTCCATCCATTGAACGTATTCTTCGCGTTATAAATATCATTACAACTATTTTCTCGATTTTATTGCTTACATAAGATGACAAAGTGGAACATACGTATTTACGAACTCTCAGTTCATTAGAAGTCAATTGTTAAAAGTGAACGATAATTTTCTTTTAATGTTATCTACTATTAAAAGTAGAAATTCAATTGAAGTAGCGTGAAAGTTCATAATACGTATGTACATATAAGTATGACTTAGACAGAAAACAGAGAAGAGGTAAAATAATGTAACTAAATTGTTTTCTAAACAGAAGTACACTGTTCGACGCGATACATATATGCGACCTACTTTACACACAGTTACATATAATTATATTATGGCTTATTATACCCACTCAATTTCATATTCGCAATTGGATAGTTACACGAGATTTCCTTTCACACGTATCATGGTCAATAATTTTCGTTTTAATTTCGAATTCACGTCGTCATAATCTCGTTCTCTATCTCCGTTTTCGTATTTCTAAAGTGAAAAAAAGCCTTAAAACGATACGAATACGTCGAATTACCGTGTAATCTCTCTATAGTTCAGAACTACGTTATTTTCATAGAATATTTTCATCAATTCTCGATGAAATTCTAATAGTCTCTCAGCTGGGCTGTTAACTGTGGTTCGCGTAATATCACGCTACAGGTTATACGGTGAAATTAGTAATGGTGGAGCACAGCGGGTAGCAAGTATCAAGCGTAGAAATATATTTAGCAATGTTAATTTGATGAGATATCCGCTCCAGTGAAACGACGTTTTACCGATTACATACTTGCTACGAGCGTAGCCGAGAAATAACGAGAAGCTTTTCGCACTTACAGAGAGCAGAGAGAATGCTTATGTTATAAACGATTTCCCTTGCTCGTTCAATGCGCGTATCGATCGTCACGTATACATATTTGCTGTTATGCGATTCGGAATAATGAGCTTTTACGCTTTGAGAACGGAAATGGACAGAATGTTTACTAACGATTCGCCTCTCTTTCTGTTACGCTCGATAGAAATATCAATCATAACTAATACTTCCTTCTATTACGTAACACAAAATAATAAAATTTTGTGCCTTGACCAACGAAAAAGCACACACGATTCGTATATTTTTTATGCAAATATTGATTTTGGTCGTACATTGGTAAGTTTTACCTGTACGAACCTGTTTTACCGTTTTAAGGACAATTGAGAAAGAATGCTTAGGAAATAAGGTCTTCTTTATCGTTCGATGCAAACGTTAATCGCATTGTATGCAATTGAGACGAAATTTTTTTTTGTTCTCGTATAAACAGATGATGTAAAGTGAATTAGTCATGATCAGAATGAAAATAAAGAAGATCCCAAACGTTCGTCGCAATTTGTTACACGTAATATATTTTTCTTACATGGAAATAAAAAGTGCATTGGCAATTTAGAGATGACCTTGATTATTGTTTTATCCATTACGTACTTTAACACATAATTTTTTGGATGCATGTTATCGCGGTATTCTTGCACCTTTCAAGGTGATTGCATTCAATAACTGCGACCGCTCAAACAGATAATATATTACTTAACGAAGATTAAGTTTCTAATAAAATACCAAAATTTTTTAACCCAATTGTTTCACCTTGTCCGTATTACTTCGACATTTTAGTATCAAAACTTTTTGCATGGAATAAATAATTAAGGGCTATCAAAGTATTAATTCAAATGACAACGATAAATTATTTACATTATATACAAGGGAGTACATGTAATACAATGATATGTACCACCAATTCAAGAAGGGAATAACATACGTGACTAGCGTAACTATAAATACGTCCTCTATGTAGGAGACTCCTGTGCCTTCTTTAGGACTTTTTTCTTGAAATGTAAATTCTTTATGCTCGAATTGGTCACGCACATACTGTTTGTACATATTTTGCGCTTGAATTGGTTACTCGGTGGATATAAACATTTACACATACATACACGCACGTGTGTATAATAATGCCTCCAAATATGAAGTATTAAGTTATAATACATACATACATGATTGACAGATTACCGTCATTGTATGTATCAAATGGCTGTCGTTATACAAGGAAACAGAAACATATTCTCTATTCTACTCTGTAAACGTTTAAAAAGAGCTTTGTGATGAAATTTTTATCAATATTCTTGCGTAATGTTTGAACTGTGATATCAAGAAACAGTAGGAACTGAAAATCATGAATGCAGAAATAAAGGACCAAGGAATTAATAGGGAAAAAACACGGGAGATTATTGACTTGGCTTGCCGCATAACGCAATCTGCGTAGTACTTCTCCAGAGTATGTTGGATATACATAAATGCGCCTCTTCTATACACTATCTTCATCCCAAACCTACTTTCTGGCGGAGCTCTCTCGATGTAAATGCATTCTAGTGTAAGAAACGCGAAGCGTTTCGTAGCTAATCGTGAATCGCATGTCACAGTGTTGGGCGAACTGTGGAGCTCACCGTTCGTTCCTTTTCAATCTCAACTGAAATGCACTTCTTTACCTTCTTGTACTTCGTAACTCAATTTCAACTTACGTAATTGTAATTGCAAGAAGATACCAAGCATGACACAAATTTTATGCGTGCAATTCGATTTGACGAGATTATCCTAAGGTACATAACTCTCGATTACCTTTCGTTAGCTCTAATCATTTTACGGGAATTGTTTGTTCAAATAACAAAATATACTAGAAGTAGAAATAATATAATGGTTTATGAATTTTGTATTACTTATGTTAGCAATTTACTTTTAAGGTATCGAATTTAACAAAACATACTTTTTTATTTCATAGACATAAAAATAATGTTAATTTTACATTAAACAATTTAAAATGTAATACTATTTTTAGAAAGCAGATTATGGAAAAAATTATTGTTTCTTATGTAATATACGTGCACCGTATATACATTACTCATAACAGGTAGCAGGTCAACAACCAGTTAGTTGAACAACGATAATGAAATATAATTAAACGCGTTAAGAATGCAAGCCTTACGAAAATGATGTTTTTCGTATGCTGCATATTAAAAGGTTTCACGTGATTCGTAAAATGTAATGTAAAATAAAAAATAACGTCACTGATATAAGTTTACAAAAACTTTATCGTATAGATCGTAAAAGTTCTTGTAATGCAGTAAGCTCTTAAATGGAATGATTTTCAAAAACAGAATATCTGTCAAAATAAGGTATAATCTTTTGATTTTTATTAAAGCACTAAGTTCCTCCTTTTTATGCTTGATATGTTTAATATTCAAAGTCGTAATTAAGGAGTAAAAGTCGATGTTCTATAACGTACGTAATACATGCATTAATAATGTTGCGTATTCTAAAAGGTAGTTCATAGGCTGATACAACAGTAATTGTCAATAAAAAATTTAATATAAGTTATTAATCCAATACAACTTCAACGTGAAAATTTAGCTTAGCCGATAATTTTTTAAGTTCATAATATGCACAAGTATTTTACCAAAAATGGTTAACAATGTTGTATACCTTTTTCTTACTACCTAAAGTTGTATATAATCACACTTAAGCAACACTTACTGAATATAAATGTTCGGTAGTTTCTCTCTCTCTAAAGATTTGCTTTAAAAGTTGTATCAAGGTAACAGCGAATGATGAAAATCAGGTCCAATAGTTAGCATTTACGCGCGCGCGCGCAACCATATACTGTATAGTATATACGATTCAACACAATGATGAACACGCAGCTTGCATACATGACGTACGCACGTGGCTATCTTTTCTATCTATAGGAAGTACATGAAAACACGTGGTATGGAATCCAATTTGGTATAATTAACAGAAGGCCCAAAATTTATCATTGCATAAATATGAATTGTTTGTCAAATTAAAATTATATATACATATACGATTTTCATTAATAGTTGTACTTTTTATTAATACATATTTACTTATACCATTTCTTGCATCATTTTGTACATTATATTTTTTTAGTAATACAAAAAATATAAAAGAAAAATGTAGAAAATTATT